CCCCCCACCCCCCCGCAAAAAACATAATACTGTCAGATCAATGATTTGATTATTTTCAACTCCATGTATTCCAGGAAACAGTCTCAAGAATATTAGGAACGCTAAGCTTACGGCTAGGATATATCTATAATGAAATTCCTTCACTATTGGTATTAAAATACATTCCATCCACAACTTTACTATTCTAGGTTTTCAATATAGTTTTTAAAAAGCACCTTTGGCTGCACAAGAAGGGTTAATCAATGTTTCTCAACCTTGGCCCTTTTAAGAGGTGCGGACTTCAACTCCCAGAATTGAATTCAATTCATTCAATTCATTCAATTCTGGGAGTTGAAGTCTGCACCTCTTAAAAGGGCCAAGGTTGAGAAACACGGGGTTAGATACTATCAAGGATCGCTAATTCTAGAATCCTGCTGTCATTTTTGCAATGGAACCAGATTCTGTGGAAGTTTAACCGTGGAGAGTTATGAATGGCACTTTTCAGGTAGGTCAGACAGCTCCAACATTGTTTCTCCGATGTAGATTTTTTTTAACTGTCAGTAATATACGACTGAATCCTGATGCTGCTCCAGCAATTAGGAATAATTTTCTTTCTGTCTCTGGAGATTTTCTGCAATGGTTGTATTTACTGCCCCTTGTAATAAGAGTGAGTTACGACTGTATCGAATTTCTCACAATCAATGTACCGGGCACGGTGGCCTTCCATTGCGTAGAACCTCTGGCATTTGAAGAGGAGAGCTTTTAGACTCAAACTGCACATTTATACGTTTTCACCCTGGTGTGGATTCTCTCGTGTTTAATAAGGTTCGAACGCCAGCTGAAACACTTCCCACAATAAGCGCATTTATACGGTTTCTCCCCTGTGTGGATCTGCTGATGCTGGAGGAGATCTGAGCCCCGGCCGAAACATTTCCCACACTCAGAGCATTTATACGGTTTTCCTCTTTTAAGGATTCTCTGGTGCCTGAGAAGGTCAGAGCGGTGCCCAAAACTTTTCCCGCAGTCAGAGCATTTGTAGGGTTTCTCCCCAGTGTGGGTGCGCTCATGCGCCAAAAGGCCCGAGCTCTGGCTGAAACTTTTCCCACACACGGCGCAAGTGTATGGTTTTTCCCCAGTGTGAGTTCTCAGATGTCTCACGAGGGCTGTGCGCTCACAGAAGCTTTTCCCACACTCGGTGCACCGGTATGGTTTTTCGCCTGTGTGGGTTCGTTCGTGGGCCAAAAGTCCTGAACTCTGGCTAAAACTCTTTCCACATTCAGTGCACCGGTACGGTTTCTCCCCTGTATGGGTCCTCTCGTGTGCCGAAAGACCTGACCGCCGATGGAAGTTCTTCCCGCAATCTGGGCATGTAAATGGCTTCTCGCCAGTGTGGGACCTTTCATGCGCCACAAGGGCCGAACTCTGGCTGAAACATTTCCCACACTCCCCACACTTGTAGGGTTTTTCCCCCGTGTGGATCCTCTCATGAGTGGTGAGGTGTGATTTCCGGCTGAAGCTCTTGCCACACTCTGTGCAGTCATAGGGCTTCTCCCCCGTGTGGGTCCGCTCATGCGCAATAAGATGCGACTTCCGGCTGAAGCTCTTACCACACTCTGTGCAGCCATAGGGCTTCTCCCCTGTGTGGAGTCTCCGGTGTCTATATAGGCTGGAGCTCTGCTTAAAAGTTTTCCCACAGTCCATGCACATCTTCACAGCCCCACAGTTGTAGATTCTGGGCTCTTTCAAGCGCCCATCATAACCTGGAATGGGAGGACCCATTCTCTTCCCCTCTTTCATGTCTGAGGTCTGATGACTCCTAGAAGTTTCTCCCACATCACGCAACTGAGAATTGCTCCAGGAGGCATCTCCTCCTGTGGATGTCCCATTGGGCTCAGAATCTTCTAGCTGAAGGATCTCCTCTTCCTCATTCTCACTCCCCTGGGCGTCACCTGCTCAGAGAAGCAGAGTCTTGGCATAAGGAAGCTCTGGAGTTGCTAAAGGTTGAAGGGAAGGTCTTTCTGACAGCCACCCTTTCTTTCAACTAGCCAGCCTATACACCCGCCTAGTTTTCAATGCTGGCAGAGGGAATGTTGACAGTAGCCTCTTCCTTCTCCTTCCACCTCCATGCCAACCCATGTCAAAAAAGCATTAATTGGCCCGCTGGCACTGCAAGAGCTGCCATTTTATAATGCAAACATCTGGGCCATGTAACCAGCAGACAGGTGAACCAATCAGAGCCTGGCTTTCAGGGTACATAGCCAATGAGAGCCCAGGACTGGCAAAGGGATGAGCTCATCATTGCTCCAATAACCTCATTGGCCATATACCTCCACAAGAATTGTTTGATTGGTTCATCTGCCATTTAAATATTAGGAAATCTTTACTTCTGAGTGGGTAGCCATGCAACAACAGCCCATCACCTCCACCCTCTAAAACAACGGTCCCCAAACTTTTTTGATTGTGTTCCTTTATCAGTAAAACATTTTTGAGCCTGTCCCTTAGCTTATATATGCTTATTTAAATCTATCTATCTATCTATCTATCTATCTATCTATCTATCTATCTATCTATCACTATACTAATCTTTTATCTACATTATACAACATACCCCCAACATATATTATATTTTGTATATTCTGTATATTAAGTATCAGTATAGTCTTATTCCTTTAAATTAAAAAAAAAATAGAAATGGACATTCTAGGATCTTCTTCCTACATCCCAGTGGGTCATCTTGTGTACCCCACTCTGAAGACCACTGATTACTTAGAAGTCCCTCTAGACTGTGGGTACCCAGGACAATGGTCACCCAATCCAGCCCTAGTGATGTCTCTGGGTTGGGAGGATTCACTGATAAAGAATTCACCAAGAATTCACTAACACGTTGATTGAAATGGCCAAAACCCTAGATAGTTTTGGAAACAGGAAGAGACAAAGATATGGAAGTTAAGGAATCATTGGCCACATCAACTCTAAATCAGAGGCAATATGTCTTGAATGCAAATCCCTTCGGTCTGCTATGGGTGGGAAAGCAAACCCCTCATTTGGGATTAACCAAAACACCATCTAGCATTCATCTTCCAATAATTCCCAAACAAAACAGTTTTATACCAAATTGCTACTATCAGATACAAATCAAGATACAACAAAGAGCATTGCCTTCTATCGTCAGAATAACTAACAATAATAAGTGATAACTGAAATTATCACATTTCTATATTACCTGTGTTTTGAACCATTTATTCGATTATGGACCCTAATAATAATTGGATTTGATCTGAGATGTTAGACTAAGTTTTGGTCTGATCTAAGCCTTTGGTCTGATAAGGCTCTTTCGACTTTTAGGTGCAATTATATCTAGATTGGCTTTCCCTAGCCTTCTGCTCTCCAGAAATGTTGGACCACCACTTCTATTATCCACAGCCAGCATAGCCAATGTTCTTTGCATAAGATGAAATGCAATGTGGATAATCCAGGCTTTGTACCAAATGGCACAGAGCTTTCAGTTTGGCCTAAAGAAATCTCCAACGTCTTGAAATCTTACCAAGGGAGGTGGCGTCATCATCATTCTCCTCCTGGAGGTCCAAGTGGGGCTGCTTTGGGTTGGAAAGATCTGGCCTGGTTGCCTATTGTAGTTGGACACACAAGTCAGCAAACAGTGACAAGAAGTGGAAGTCTTAATTCTAAAGAAAACTTCTCAAATAGGAATAGGGACCTGAAGAGATGTTTTTGTCTTAGTGATAGTTCAACATCTATTTGAAAAACAAAATATAAAGAGGGATCTCTTTTCTTGGTGGAGGCCCAACAGCTCCAGCCCTACAACAGGTTGAACCTGATCACCAAATTAACCTGCTATTCTGGATTTATACAATAAACAGGATGGTAAACTAAACCGAGAGGTTGAAGTCATGGAACATACTAAGACAGCCTTTCTCAACCTTTTTACCCTGGAGGAACTCTTGAAATAATTTTCAGGCTTCAGGGAAACCCTGCATAAAAATGATTATATCTACAGCTCACGGCACATTAGCACGATCAGTAAGTTGTAGGTTTTTTTCAATTACAATTATATCTACAGCTCACGGCACATTAGTGGGATCATTAAATTGTAGTTTTTCTTCAATCATGATTATATCTACAGTTCACAGCACATTAGCGTGATTGGCAAGCTGTAGATACGTTTATCTTTTTTCAATCACGATCTCTTACAGAACCCCAGTTGACAAAGGCTGCCCGAAGCTATCAAATACTAACCAAGCTTAGGATGTTGTGTGAGGAGGTTTTTGTCAGACCTGGTTAAGTGGGTCACGTGAACCCAACCATAATAGTTATTAAGCATGATGACTCTAGGTCAGAGGCAGCCTAGCTTTGAATTCCCAGCTACATTAGATGTTAGTTTATCTATTCCAGGTAGATCCAGAATTTTAACACAGCAGTGGGCTGTGGATATTTGGGTGCTTTTAGACTACATTTCCCATCAGTTCCAGACAACATGGTCAATAATGGGTGGTAATGTAAAATTGTCACCTGATATCTTATATCTGGATATAATCTATGGGCCACAGCAGTGTTTCTCAGCTTTGGCCGCTTGAAGATATGTGGACTTCAACTCCCAGAATTCCCCAGCCAGCATGGCTGGCTGGGGAATTCTGGGAGTTGAAGTCCACACATCTTCAAGCGGTCAAGGTTGAGAAACACTGGGTCACAGGCTTTCTTCCCCATTTTAATAGTGGAATCAGCAGAATCATATGCATGTAGAACAGAAGTACCATAATGACATACTTCAGTATAGAAAACAATCTCAGCTCTGTTAGACCCTGAAAAGAAATCCAAAATCTATAGCTGTCCGGTAATTTTTTTTAGGAGAAACCAGAATGACACGAAATGGGGTACACGTTTTTGAGTTATCCAGACCTCTGTCAGGTGAGAAGAACCAGAACAGCATGAAAATGTATCCTGCGTTCAGCCCACAACCTCTCCTTCTACCTTCCTGCCTGCCATTTATCTCCACATCAACCTGGAAAGATTTTAGCATTTCTAACTTGGAAGGAAATGCCGATCTCGTGGCTCACATACCTAGCTTCCTGCTTGAACTGCCTTGTTTCTTCCCTAACTCCTGTTCCTTTTGTGTTCTTTTGTAGGATGAAGAGAATTCAGAACTTTGCACATTTTTTTCATGGCACCTTGCACCTTTTATATTATGGGAAAGAGTCCAAAGAAGACTTTGGCCAGTGGAATGCCAAAATGCTTCCAAATATGATTTCAAAGGCCAGATAACTGTGTGGGAAAAGAGGCAGTTCTTCAGACAACCAATCTCCAGCCCACTTCATAGGGTGTATAAAGGATTTTGAGTTTGAAATGGATTGTTTGGACCTTACCGGAAGTGTTCTAGGCATGAAATAGTCCTCTATTCCAGCTCAGAACTCATTCATATGGTTGGAACAACATCAGAACCCTTCCAGTATGGTGGGAACAATTATTCCAAGCTCGAAACTCTTCGGGTTTCCAATTCAATATGTTTTGTGGAATATGGCCATGTTGGACTTTCCAAAAGATGTTCAGGATGTTGAAGTGCCCCAATCCATAGACTAGGAAAAGCCGATCTCACCCGTCGTTCCCATCTTTCCTTCTCTCGCTGCCTCAACAAAAAATCCTCCGCCAAGGCTACCACTTGGGCACAGATCTCTGAGCCCCGCTTTCGGGCCCAGGTCTCCATTTTGGAGGGAAGGAGTCACTGTCCTGGAACAAAAAATGTTGGGGAAAAAAAAAGAATAAGGATACACAGATATATCCATAAAGCAATAAGACACACATAGACACGTATAGGGTTGGTTGGTAGACCCATCCAAGTAACTTATACTATTCAGTTTATCCTCACCACAAACCCGCAAGGTTATTCAGCTCACAAAAATGAGTCGCTAGATGAGATCAAGGCCATCTCTAATCAAACATCCTATTTCTCACGGATTAATCAAATTAATTTGGGAACTTCCCAAACACGAGAGAAGTCAACGTATCATAGCAATAAAAGGACTGGACTAGGACTTGAGAAACCAAAATGGAAGTCCTTACTTACCCATTCAGGTGGCTGGATGACTTGGGGCCAGTTGCTCCCTCTCAGATCAACCTACCCCGCTGGACAAGGGCTGTGATGGTAAAATTAAGAAGGAGCACCATGTCCACTACTTGGAGCTCCTAGAAGACAGGTGGATGTAGATGTAATAAAGATCCTGCAGGAGGCATGCTGTCATTGTGAGTTACACCCATCTATTGCCTAGCCCAGGGTTTCTCAACCTTGGGCACTTTAAAATGTGTGGACTTCAACTCCCAGAATTCCCCAGCCAGCATGGCTGGCTGGGGAATTCTGGGAGTTGAAGTCCACACATCTTAAAGTGCCCAAGGTTGAGAAACCGCTAGCCCTATGTCTCAGTTGGTGCTCATAGCCTCATCACTTGTGGGAAAGAGTTCCAAATTTAACTATACACTGACAGAATGGGGGTGTCCGCAGGTGGCCATAGTGCAATTGAAGTTCTGTCCATTTTTTATGCACGTGGGCAGAGCTACGGTCGCACTGTTGCTGACACCATCTTGACTTTTTTGACCATGCATTGCAGGCCCCCCATGAAGGAATTCTTCTTCCCTCTTTTTGTGCATCCTAGATTTTCCACCAATCAGCTTCAGGGGACGGGCCAAGAAGAGCAAATGTGATTTATCCCCCAGTCATTCGAGGTATCCAATAGGCAATGGAGCTGTGCTGGCTAGGAATTCTGGGAGCTGTAGTTCCGACACATCCGAGGGTGCCAGGCTGAGGAAGCAGAACTGGGTGCAGAACCAAAAGGAGCTACCGTCTTTCCATGCAGTAACCCCCTTGGGGTCCCCCCAAGCTTTTTTTATTTCTTCAACAGGAAGGCAGGAAGATTCCCATGTTACCCCAAGCTATAATGTTGTTGGTATAAACCCGGATAAATCTGGTTTATTCCTTAACAAGCTTAAACATGCCTTGGCTTAGCCTGATGTCCAAAGTAAACCTTTCTGTTGCTACTTTGGTAAAACAGGAGCCAGAAATCCCTCCCAATCTACTACAGATCACCCATAACGTGTTCTGTGACACGCCAACCCCTTCCAAGGCGCTACCAGAGGCTCAAACCATCTGTGGCAAGATCTAGCTATTTGGTGGCTAAGAGGCAACACTAGCTTGATGGCAATCAATCAGAGTTTGTGATTCAACACGTCACAGGAAACCCAGCCATTGGCTTCCCATGTTGCATGGAGCAGCCCATCTCTAAGTATAACAGGTCCTGGGAGCACAACCATTGCATTTTGTTAACCTGGGTTAAGGGTTGTACCAATTGTGTGAACCCAGCCCATACACTCTGTGTTTCGTTAGGGTGGGCATTCGGCGTAATGTCCTCAAGAGGAACCAGAGGATGCCAAAAGGATTGCTAGCTGATTCAATGAGCCTCATGCCCCTTTCTTTCATTGACTCCTCCTCGTCTGCGTTTCACATTCAGCCTCCCCCTGCTTTCCATGCCAGGAGCTTTTAGCGACAGGAAGAAATGTGGCTGAGCGGCTGTTTAAAAAAAGTAGATGCCAGAGCCAGGAAGAAAGTTGGCAGGGCTCGGTGAAACTCTACAGTAACTCAGTGATGACCTCTGTGAAAAGGTACCATTTGAATTCTGGGCAGCGGTGGCCCTTCCTTCCGCCTGCCCCCTTGCCCTTCGCCCACCGCTTCTCCTTCCCCGAAGACAAAGATGCTCACCTTTCCTCAGGCCACCCGCCTGCCCGTATCCACTCCCTTTCTCGGCAGTAATGGAAAAGCAGGCTCTGCAGCCTTTGGGATCCCCCCCTTTGGCTGGCTACGGCGGCAACGGCGGCTGGCCAGAGGTTAGGATTTTAAAAAAAGGGATCCAGGAGGAAGGAATCCCCTGGAAGCATCTCATTTCCTAGCAAGTACAGGAAAGCCACCAGCCGTTTGCTTCCTTCTCAAATAGCACAGCCGCTCTGTGCAAGCTCAGCTTGCTTGATTTAACCCTTGGGAGAGAGCCGGAGAGGCAAAGAGGATGCAAGATGTTTGTGTGGGGGGCGTTGACGATTTATCGGGGTTCCCCTGGTGGGCCAGAGGGATCCTGGCTTCCCAAAACGGCAGCAGGATGCAGGGCGTTGGAACGTTTCAGTGGCCTTGGGAAAAGCCAGCGGGGTGCCCTCAGCCACAGAAGCTCCCTGGGGGGACCTGGGGCCGTCCATCCCTTTCGGGGTGGGCTAGTGGGGAAGGTGCCCGACTAGGAGCGGGGAGACCCAAATTCTGGGCCCCCTCTGGTGGTCTCTCTCTCTTTTCCTCTGGATCTAGGACAGCCAGGGTGGGGAGATGGTGAAGGTGCTGGACTAGGAGCAGGGAGACCCAGGTTCTGGTCCTCCTTCAGCCATGGAAGCTCCTTCTCCCAGCTCCTTCTTCCCAACCAACCTCACAGGGTGGTTGTGGTGGGAAAAGATGGAAGGGAAAGGACCTTGCTTTGAGCTCCTGAGAATGAAAGTGGGATAGAAATCTAATCCATAAAGTTGAAAAGAAGAGAGGGAGAGTGGGAATCCTCTTGGGACATTGATATGGATATTATCAAGATATTATCAATATCCTGATATTGAAAAGGCTTTGACAAGATTGCCTGCCTGCCTCCCCCCCCGCCCCATATTCCTGGATGCCCTACCCCGCCTCCCAAGCCTCTCCCATAGGAAAGCAGAACCTCTTTTCCCTTTTAAAAATCACAGCTGGTTCACACTGATTTTGAAGGTGTCAGGCCTCTCATCATTCATTGTCTTCTGCACTAGAGGCGTGCAAAATAATTCTCTGGGCCTCCTGGTACACTTCTGGGTGATTTGCAGTAGATCCTAAGGGTGCCTGATGATTGAATATTTACCCATTGCATAATGCTTTTTAGTTTATTTAATTTATTTATTAAATTTCTCACCCACCCATCTCCCCGATGGGGGAACTCTGGGCGACTCACAACAAACATTAAAAACATAAATATATATCTCCCCGATGGGGGAACTCTGGGCGACTCACAACAAACATTAAAAACATAAATATATATCTCCCCGATGGGGGAACTCTGGGCGACTCACAACAAACATTAAAAACATAAATATATATAAATACATAAAACATCAATTTACTAAAAATGGGGGAAAGAGAGACAGTTTAGTGGTCAAAGGCTAGAAACCAGGAGGCTGTGAGTTCCAGTCCTGCCTTTAGAACAAAATCAGCTGAGTGACTTGGGACCAGTTACTTTCTCTTAATCCTAGGAAAAAAATCCTGGCAAGGTCAGTTCTGAAAATCTTGCCAATAAAAGTTTGTGGACTTATCCACGTTAGTTGCCAGGAGTCAAGACTGATTCTGAGATACATGCCCAAAGGGGTGTGGGGGTGTGTGGATGGATGGATGGATGGATGGATGGATAGAGAAATGCAAATGCTGATAGAAAGTTAGTGGGTAATGTGGCTGGAAAGTCTGCTGAATGACTATAAGAGTGCATTTGTGCCCACTTAGTTCTATGGAAGTGAGAATTGGGTCCGTCAAAAGATATATCAACATAACTTGAATTGGGTACTTTAAAAGTACTTTAAAAGTATGTCTGACAAGAGAGACAGTCAACAATGGATGGATGCCATTAGAAAGAAAGAATGGATGAGTTTTGAATGGCAAAAGCAGACAGATTAACTAATCAGTAGGTTGAGAGAAAGGTGAGAATTTTCAAGAATGGGATGAAGTGGAAACATAGCCAGGGCTACCTCAGAGCTGGGAAGCTGAGTGACAAAAGTTCTTCAACAGCATCGATTCTCACATTCCAGGTCAAAAGCTTCACTGCTCCTCCTGTCCCAATCCAGAGAGAGAAATTAGAAGCTCTAGTTGATGTCGCCCGTTGGCCCATAGATGGATGTGCACTCAAAACCCAAGACACATAGAAAGTTGAGATCTCCCTTGAATGCTTGGAATGGGCTACGTGGTTGCCCAGCCATCATTCTGCCTGTATTACGCGTTCTATTGAGAGCTGGGAATGGAGCATCTCATGACATCACACTGAAGGGGGGAGACGGAGCAGTACGTTCTAAGCAAAAATTGGAAGCCATATAAGAATACTTAGTCCTTGTCATTGCTTTTACTCCTCTAAGCAGATCCTTTCACTGTTCACCCCATATAAAAAAGGGGTGGGTGGAAGAAATAGCTTCCCACCCCTCAGCATGATACTTTGCGTGCCTGCTCCTTCTCTGCCCAAGAGAAAGGGGAACAGACCCCTTGCCAGATTTGACCCTACCCCAAACTTGAACACCCAAGCTGTCAGACTTCTCCTGGACTGGTAATGGTTAATCCCAAGATCAATTCTCTCAGAGCTCTGACTGGTAAGATTTGGAGGAAGGCGAAATTCACAACACAAGAATTCTAGCAAGTGCTTCTCCTTTCAATGGATATAGAGGCCAATGAGGGTGGGGAGGTTCCTTTTCTCAAAGTCTTTTGAAGTAAAGGGGAGAAGGCTTGGCACTCTTGTGAAAGAGAACCAGAATGCCTCTTGGACATTGGACATTGGAATTGTTTTGGACACAGCTGCTAGACTTCTTATCAATCTAGGACAAGTTCTTCCCTTAATTTTGCTTGGGCTTCACAGCAAAGCAGGCCTGTGCCTGGTTAGGTGCCCTAGGCTAAATCAGGAAGTTGAAAAAAGATGCTGGAAGAAGGAATACATCCATGTATTTGCAGAAGTCAAGGACAAGGAAAGCTTTACTTAAACCAAGCCGCCATTCCCTTTAAAAGACCTGCAAGTACAGCTGAAGCTTACAAGCCAACAACAGATGGGAGGTAGGAATTCCTTCCAATGGAAAAGAGACCAACACAAGCAGAAAGCCACTCCAGTGTTTCTCAACTTTAGCAACTTTAAGACGTCTGGACTTCAACTCCCAGCATGCTGGCTGGGAAATTCTGGGAGCCGAAGTCCAGATGTCTTAAAGGTGCCAAGGTTGAGAAACACTGCTCTAGATAACCCTGACCCTGTTTGAGACCGCCTGAAACCATCAAAGGTTGTTTAAAAATATATACTAGCATATGGCAGGTAAGAATGCTCTTTATCTTTGTATGAAAACTGGAATATTAAAACATATCCTTGTTTTTATTAATACTTTGGAGGGTCTGCCAAAAAAATTCCAGTTACTGATATTTCCAGCCTCTTGTGGACTAAAAGGATTTAGGAAGCTAATTAAGAAACAGCAAGCAAGCTCATTTCCCTTCCACACACAGAAAAGAACAAGCCCAACTTGGCTGTGACAAGTTGGAGTGAAGAGCACTTTTTTACACCACATGATTTTGTGTTGACACTTAAACAAATATAGCTAAATATTTCTTTTATTTCATTATCTTAGAAAATATAACCAAATAAATCAGGACTCAGTATTTAATGATATTTTCTTTTTGGATACGCTTTCACGGGTGGAGAGGAGGACTAGAAGTTCAAAGTGATGGGGCATTTCCTCCTCCAACAGAAATTGGCACAATATTATTTATTTATTTATTTATTTATTTATTTATTTATTTATTTACTCATTTATTTGTTAAACCCAATACAGTGTTCTCCAAGGTGAGTGAGAATAATAATAATAATCCCCCAGTGAGGCTCTACCTTGACACGGTTGTGGGGCTTGCGTACTCCGAGGAGGATGAGAGCTATGCCAGAGGTTCAACCATAATGGACAGGTCTCATCAGAGGAGCCACACAAAGTGTCTCTCCCATAAATCATATGGTGAGATGTAATTTACAGAAACCCATACTGAATGAGTTGTCACCAGGGTCAACAAGGACCGCCCTAGGTGTTGGAGATCCTGGACATCTGGTGACAAGTGGGCGACAGGACTCAGGACTGTTGGCTGAGCAACCAGGGCCAGCAGCTGCAGGACTGCTGGAAGAAAAGTTGCTTACCTGTCGCAAATATACAAAGACTGAACAAGAAGAACAAAGAATACCTGAACAAGAAGTATCACCTAGAAACAAGGAAGATCAAGGAAGCACTGGAAATAGTAAAGCAGCAAATAACAGCCATAGCCAATGGAAACCAGCAGATACGAAGCTCCAATTGCACACTACGGGCAGAATCTCCAATTTCAGTCAAATCAGAAACGTTTCTACCCATCCATCAACGGAGAGACTGCAATGAACCAGTCAACAGTTGACAAAGAAGAAATAATGCAGTTCTGGGCGCAGCTGTGGGACAACCCAAAGAAATGCAACAAGAATGCAGCTTGGATAAAGGAGGTGGAGAAGGGGAAAAAAAAGAAGCTGAAATGAAAGAACTTGTAATAACAGCAGAAATGGTGGAGAAAAGGGCAAGAAGATCAAGAATTGGTCAGCAGCAGGTGAAGATGAACTGCATGGTTTTGGTTGAAACATCTGACTCTCTGCACCCACTCACTGCCAAGCAGTTTAACAACATACTGCAAGGAGGTGAAACTGAAGACTGGTGAACATCTTGCAAAACCTTCCTGATAATGAAAGATCCAGCAAAAGGGGCGGCACCAGGCAACTACAGGCCAATTGCCTGCTTGCCAACAACTTTCAGATTGCTA